AGACTGCTTAGCCACCTGTGCAATTACACGAGCACTATGTTCTTCGAGTCTGGAATTTTCATACCTTTCGTCTTTTTCGAAAAACAGAACAGAAGAACTAATTTATTTTTCAATAGATTTTTTTCACAAAAGAATTTTTCCTTGATTTTTTAAATTTATTATTTAAATTACACTTCCTTACTTGTTAAAAGAACACCATGAGAAGATATTAAACTCATTTAACGTTCCAACATGTCTTAAGATAAAATAGGAAGCAGTGACAATTCCGTTTTTCAAATCACAAATGTAACAAGTTCAGAACGCAAATAGATGTAATAAGCTACCTGGGTACACCGCTGTTCGTCAATTGGGTAAGCGTCTCTAACAGGACATTACGTAAGCTCGGCAAAACATATGCAGGATTTAAACTGCCCAGTTTTCCAAGTAAGGCTACCGCATGCTCCTGCATTTCCAGTTTTTCATCATGTAAAGTCATGAAAATAGAATCAAGCATATCAGCCTGTGCTAAATGGGACAAGAGAAGTGGATCGCCATCTTTGAAACATTGCAAAACTCTCAAGCGTACTTCCACAGCTGAAAAGCGAAAGGAATCACAACAAATGATAAGGAAAATTAAGAAATACCACATTCGGTCACTTGCATTTCAAATATAAATCTGAAATCATCATCGAAAGCTTGGATTATGGCAATCAGAGGATTATTTCATATATGTTGTTAAATACAGCAACGCTTTCTCAAACCGTATACAATACAGGCAATATTTTCAATATTTAAAATACTTTGATATCGAAAGCTGGCTTCAATTAACAGTAGTAAGTTATCTTAAACTTAAAAAAATGAATTTGCTGAAGTCGACCTCTTTCGAACTCGATGAATCCAGGACAAAGTTCACAATTTTTTTTTTTTGCTACACACTCAGTAATTAATACCCAAATGTTTTCACACAATGAAAATCTTCTTACACACAGTATTGTAAACAAATTACAATCAAATTCTTTAGAAGTCTCTAATCCCAAAAAAAAAAAACAAGCATTAGATCAAAAACTTACACGAATCAATAACAGCAACCATAACAAGTTGTCGAAGTACGGACTGTATCAAATTTAGGACATCGAAACGCTGTTTTTTATTAGCACATTCAAATGATTCAAATACACGAACAAAGGGCGTCAACATTTTAGCACAGCAATCCACTGCAGCCAAACGTACTTCTGCGCAATCCGAAGACAAATAACCCTGAGAAATTACCAGAATTTGAGCTTCATTTATTTCCCGTTGTTTCATCTTTATTACTTTATTTACTTGCCATTGTTTTTTGATCTATCAAAGATGAGTCGGTAATTATTTACCTCACAACATTTAATCTTAGCCAGTAGCAAAGAAGTGATTTGCCCCACCTAACAATTGTTGAAAATTGAAGGTGAGGTATATAGGGAAAAAGATTTAGAACCAATGAGATCGATCTATTCTTACATGCGCTATATAATTGATGAACATTTGAAGTGCATGCCGCTGAAATTCGAAACGACCAAGTGTAGCTAAAGCAAGATTCGTAAGTGCCACATTAGTAACATTCACGGGACCGGCTGGCATAGGTGGTTCCGTCGGTGGATCAAGTTTACTAGGCAACTTGCGGTTCATCAAAAGCTGACAAAGCTCTTTTAACAAACCATCTTGTGCTTCCGTTTTCAATCCAGGTATGGACTGCATTATTTCATAGGCAACGTCTGTCAATCCTGAAATGAAAACCAGCATGATTTTTTTTCGAAAATGAAGAACGGAATTTTTACCAAACTAAGTCAAAAGCATCATGCCGAGTCCTCAAATTTAAATTTGCAAGTTTCATTTTTTTTTCACCCTTTTTCCTTCAAATCTATTTTCCTATACATTATGAACATTCAAACCTCATTCTCCATAAAATATTTGAAGTATTATCTACTGCGAGAAATTTTTGAATACGATGACTAACAATTCTTGAAAACTGAAGGTTAGGTATATAGAAAAAAAGATTTTGAACCAATGAGATCGATCTATTATTACATGCGCTAGATCACTTGACTTTGAAGTTTTGTTAGTACAGAATATATTTTCTCAAGGACCAATAGCATATTAAAGTCCGATTCATGATACTTTAGAATGAAACTGGAGCAATACCTTTTGATAAACCTGTTGACAGTAGAATCGGTAGTAACGTTTTAATCTCGGATTCTATTTTTTCCTTCAATGCGCGGATAATTAATGTCAAACATAAGAAGACATATTCATCTACCGGTTTGTGTCTGGAAAAACCTGCATTAAGGAAAACACAAGCTTAGTTACTATTTCACAGTTACTATTTCACAGCAATTACTATTTCACATAAACATAATTTCAGTTACTTTAAGGTCCTGATTTTAGTTACTTTGAGACGCTACTGGTAAATGCAAGAAAAGTTTCCAAAAAGCTCAAATGCTAATGAAATAATGAAAGAGATCTGAAAAAAAAAGGTCTTGCGAAAAGTTTAGAAACGATTAAGACTTTAATCCATTCAGCGCATTCTGATGTTGTTTAAGCGTAAATGATGAAATTGCTGCTCATACGATAAAAATATAAATAATCAACGACGAATAACGAGTAAAACTAACTTATATGTTGCAGTCTGCAACTGAATTTGTATGACAGCGAAAAGACGAGGCAGTTTCACAAGCAGTTCTGTTGGCCGATCAAGTACCAATAAACCAAGAGTAAAGAAAGCAGGTGAATGTTTTGCAGTCAAATTTAGTGCATGATTAAACATTGAAACTATATCAACATTGAAAATATTTGCCTCATTTGAAGCAACCGTTTGCGTCTTCCCAAATGATGAAAGACGTGGGAAAATTTCAAGCAATGTTGTTTGACAACAAACACTACGTGAAGTACATGCCAGACTGCATACTCGATATATCTAAAAAACGAGTACGTTAAAATGAAAAAATGACTTCTGTATGACTAGAAAAAAATTATCAGCAGTTGTAACTATTTTTTTTCAAAATCTTGAGATTTTCTTGAAAACCATTCAATAATTATGTGTAGGGATTCGAATTACTTTTCGATAATGAATACATCGACTTAAGCATTTAATTCGTATTTCACATTTCATATCATATTATACATTCTTGTTTTTAATGACTACCGTAACTTAGAGATGAATAAAGCAGCATTTACAAAGGAATCACTGAATAAACTAATCGAGTATAATTAATTAACTCCCTCAACACTTTTTTCCAAACTCAATTTAAGATCCCTAAAATGAACTTAATTTTGCTGTAGAAATCATTAGCAGAAGCATAACTAAACTATAACACTAACATCAGTAAATTTCTCAGCAATAAGCTGATTAGCGGTTCGACTATCAACGGTAACTGAATACGTGTGCTCTGTTAACCAGTCTATTGCATTTGATCCAATTACTGTTCGAACATTTTGCTGTGGTTGACGACCGAGCGCCAGGATCCGTTGACGCTCAGCCGGTCCATTACCAATTCGAAGTAGTTCATTCAATATCAGGAGCATTGGATGCTGCCTCTCGTCTCGGTTCAAACCATCAAATTTCAAGGAATTCATTGCTTCATCATAACAGCGCTGCAAAATAACAGCTATAGTGTCTGTTAATACCACAAAATAATTCGAAAACTCTTTGAAAGATCAGAGGAACCATCACCATTCGTGGAAAAATTTTCATTCCTGAAGCAACTTCTGAGCACCGGCCAGTAAATATGAAGATCAACCACAGTCACATCTAACACCTAGGTGAAATCAGAATGGCCTATAATTTCGATGAAACTCAATTTACCTTATTTCCATATTTCACAATCACAATTTCGTGGGAACATGATGAATAGCCTTATTCAGTCTGCCTCAGTGTAAGGTGTCCGCACTTCAAAGTACTAGACGATATCCAACATTATCCAAGAAAAAACCAAATATACAAGAATAAAGTGCTTATTTATTCTTCAGTGTTTGAAGGACGGTGCCCATGGATAAAACAAAAATTCATTGGCAAAACAGAAGAGTATGCATTAATAGCAGTTGATGCATTGCGCATGGTTTCCTCTGTTGTTATCTGTTTTCTTGTGTCTTCGGGTATAACTTCACCTAACTTTGGTTTTGACAGTATCTAATATGCATTGCTTCTTCCCGATCACCAGTTGCAATCGGCAAGTCATGTATATTGTTGATAAGCAACTACGTATGCATTAGAACTACAGTGAAAACGATCTTGGAGGAAATGATCCTTCTTTAACTGGAAATCTTGTACTTATAGGAGATACTAAGGACATATTTCTGAATACAGAATAAAATTTGAAATGACTTACCCAATACCACTCCGATTTCTGACGTGCTTCGCGTTGCGACGTAACTGTAAGGGCAGCATGCAAAGCCTTAGTAGCTGCTATTCGCACCGTGGCCTAAAACGTGTTAACCCAAACAATAAAGATGAAGCACCAAACACAAGAACGAAGGAGAAAAATGTATCGTAATGAAACATGAACTAATAATTGACTTTCAGCGAAACATATTGTTAAGAATAAAACACTGTTTAAATCATTAGAATTACTAGAGCATACTATCTTATCTAAACAGACTATGGAATTTTAAATTACAAAAAACCGTCATTTTTTTTTCAATGTTTCCAAACAATTTAATAAATTTTAGAAATTATGGGGACTTTTTTCAAACCTTAGGATCCCTGATGACTTTGAAAATGTTTGAAAAAAAATTAGATGCACGTAGAAAAAATGATGTTGACGTGTACAAGGCCAACTGCCTAGCCAGAAAAACTGCAGCAAGACGGCGTGATTCATGTCGCTCAGATTCTTCAAGCCATTCACATACCTATCAAATTCTTCAAGTTTCCATGTTTTAATATTCACTAATACAATGCAATTAATTTTGACCTGAAAAACCTAAAAAAATTTGGCCCGGAAAATTTTAGCCTGAACATACCTTGATGGGATACACTAAAAACAAAGTAAAGTCAACTACATCACAAGAAGCATATTTTTAACTGTAGTAAACATATTAATACCTTCAAGATAACAAGAGACACATCCCCCTTGCCACCAAAAGCTCAAATCGAAACACAGGAATCTGAGCAATAAACAAGAAAAATTTCAACCTGATTGATGGATTTTTCTACCAATTCAGCAGCAAATGTCTTCGAGGTCTGAATCAAATAAGCAATTGCCCTGGCAACAAGTTTCATGCCCACTTCATCGCCTTGTACTAGTGCTTTTAGAAGATACTTTGCAAAGCGTGGGACACGTTTCGTTTCATCACCAGCATTTTCTACCAAACAAGCTGAAATCTTTCCATCCACCATTGTAAAAAATATAAAAGTGTCATGAGTATACATCAAATCATCAGATACCTATCAAAATTATTCCTGCTTTTCTTTCGTCATTATCCAAACTCGTCATCAGCGTATGTATAGCACTCTGAAAGAGTATGAAAAGTAAGATTCAACTAATTTGTGCTTCATTCATATTTATTTCTAATAAAACAAGACGCATAATTAAATGCATTTGATTTCATCGAAGCATCAGACATTTTTTTTTTAATAACGCCTAACATTTAACATAATTCAAACGAAAAATCCCCTTCAATCCTACTACAGATATAATTAATGCGCTTGTAAGAACGAATGTCATTACTAACAAAGAAGGATAATTTTGAAAAAAAATTCCCTATCAATCCTCTCAAATAACAAAATTAATTAAAGTAAAAACGAATCAGCTCTTCGATCCAAATAAGTCGTTTAGGAAAGAAGTCAATTACTTTTAATTTTCAGATAGCAGAAAAAGTCAGTGGTTTAAAAATACAACAACACTACTGTTTCGAAAAAAGTGAATCAAAAGTTCGTGCTTTAACCTGATCAACTTTTGCATCGAATGTTGCAAAAAATTCTGTTATAAATTGATCGCTGTTATCACGTAATTCGCCATTTATATAGCTTAAAAAAGTTTGACTTAATAAACCAATGGACTATAACTTCTCATAAAACTGCTTTGAATTAAATTTGCCCTTCATGATTTCTTGGACAGCGACTTATATGTTCCTAAAATAAACCATTCGGAACAACTGATCGATATTTATCCTTATTCAAAAGAATTTATAGCTGAAGGATAAAGTTGCAAAGATAATCTGAGATTTTCATGCTTTAGCAATCTGCAAGATTTAGAACTTCTGTTTGATACAAGCACTAGATGACTGAATCAATTCTATAACAAAAATTTCAAAACATTACTCATAGAGTTGTCTGGCAACTTTCAATCGATTTTCATCACCTCCTTTCTTCCTTAAACGCGTAAGAAAATCAGCTGCTATTGCTCGTGCAGATGTTTCTCTAATGCTCGAATCCATCCTGCAAGCAACCTTTCCTTAACAGATGCAAGACTTGCAACTTATTTGTAATTTTAGATGCTGTGATAACGATAACGATGGAAAAATACACAAAAACATAGTCGTCATTTTAAATCACTGATAAACAAATGAACAAAACTATAGCTTTGATATTTGATTAACATTACTAAAACGGGATTTAGTATTATGCACAACTTCTATGGAAACAAAAATTGGAAAATCAACTGATAACAAGTGCTGGTTATCTCAGGACATGACGAGATCAGTGATCATCTCATCAGTGGAAGTTGTAAAAACAGCCATAAATAGTGATGGGTGAAAATCAAGCGAGAAAAAAAAGATGATAAAAAAATATTCAAAATGATTGACGATTTCACAAGCGCCGCTATGACATAACAGCAACACTAATCATCAACAGAAATCTTATGCAACTATAACCATAAACATAATCAGTCTAAGTATAAAACGATGCAGGAAAGTGTAAACAGAGAGTTTAAAATACCTTACGATATAGAATACAAACAAAAAACTTGAGCATCAAATTGACTGATAAAGTCAAATGACCGCAGTTATGAAACTGTGTCTCAATGGGAGAACCAAAAGAATTAGCAAAGAAAAAAAGTAGGCTTTATGGATACAGAGTAACAGGTATAGATTTTAGTAGTTAACTCTACTAGCGCAAATATATATATATATATATATATATATATATATATATATATATATATATATATATATATATATATATATATATATATATATATATATATATATATATATATATA